ATGATTCTATGATTCTATGATTCTATGATTGAAAGGCATATTTAATGCTAAGTCACTCAGATAACACAGACATTAATTGCTCTTTCGTCTTCAGCTCCTAAGGAGGTTGTAAAGTACCATTTTGGCAAAAATGTTATCTAAAACAACTGTTCCCAGTTGTTATGGTAAGCAGTGGTTGTGGTGGAGATTATACATCTCTTCTAATAAAGATTTCTATAAATAACCAGAACTTCCAAAAATGTCCTTATAAAATGATACAATATTAAATCTCATTCATTATACAAATTATTGACACTGGCACTAGCATAACCTGCTGTCTTGAAGCACTGCTGCGTACAGAAGACCATGGCATGTGGCTCCATTAAGCTGTTTGTTCAGAGTACTTTCATCTTTTCTCCCTCTCTTGTTTTGATGTGGAACGAACACAAAGGACTTCATCTACATCGACAAAGCCCCTCTGAGATATATGACTTGCCTAAGATACGCAGAAATACTTCTGCAAACGTTCCTTCCAGAACGGATGTTGAGTTGCTGAAAATCACTCCTTGAAAGGTGGCGTGCAATTGGCAGATGCAAGGTGGTAAGAAGTGGACATTGCTAGCAAGGATATATCCACACACACATTCCTTGTTGAAAAGCAAACCAAGCAAATACAAATGTGGTGACAGCTAATGAGGAGCTCAAAAAGTCTCTGATCCCCAGTATATCAGCTTATTTCATATTCTTGTTTTCTGTTCATATTTTTTTTTCCTTACCTGGGGTAGATTTGGAGCCAGGTTTTTGTGTGAGGCCACGGGCTCTAATGACTTCTACTTCTAACTGGCCCTTTTTATCCACCATTCCAATCTGGATGTCACCTGAGAGGGAGAAGAAAGAAGCCCACATTTTAGAGAAGCAGTATGGCCCGGGAGATAGGGTATAAGAGTGAGAAACAGAAAGACTAGTTTGCTACTAGTCTGCTGCATTAGTGCACTTGTCACCTCTCCTGAGCCCTTTAATTCCTCCATCCTTAAACCAGGACTAAAAGGGACTACTTAGGGAGCACGGTGCCCTCTCTTGGTGTATGGTTTATACCAGAGCTCAGTACTTCTGATCCATGGAGGCAGGCAAATTTACAGCAACGCTATGGTATAACCACCTCACCTTTGATTTTGCACTGGTGAATTATCTACAGACTTCCTACCTAGGACTGTTGCCCCAGTGTGCCAGTCACTGACATGCGCTGCCCTGACAGTGGTCCCGTACTCAGAGAGCCTAAAACTCAAACTCATGTTCAGAAATCCCCTCGGCTGGAAGTTTCTGCCTCCAAGCTGAGACGCAAGAGCTGGCAGTGCGAAGGCTCCTTGTCTGATGTAGCAGGAAGGAGAACTGCTGGTAGAGGCTAACATTGAAACCTTCTTCTGTAACTACAATTGCCTGACTGGATCCTCTGCGTAAGGCAGAGACACCAACCAGACGAGGCACGCAGTCATAGCACAGCTTCAGAGAATGATGCCCTGACCCCCAGGAGCTCAAAAGAGGTCTTTTTTCTGCAAAAGTCTCCAACAAGTACAGGGGTGACAATTTTCTTGTTTTTATCAATATTCCACACCCATTTTTGGTGTGAATAAAATGATGCAACATGTTAAAATAAGAAGCTGCTTTCGCTACTAAATAGTCAAGCTTGTTTCCCTGCCTAAGTTCTGACAAATGACATTTCCTGCAGAAAAAGGAAACTGCTTAGTCCGAGACCAAGCACTGTTCTGATCTAGATCAATAAAATGCAAGGGAAGTCAACTATGGGCTGATGCTCAAAGCATTATATCTCTATGGTTTCATATCATGGAATCAGCTGGGTAGAAATCTAACAGGCCACTTAGAATAAAAAATGCACAGTATGATTCTATGATTCTATGACACGGGCAGCTACGTGACACCTGTGCAAATAAATGAACTATACATATATATCCATGAAACACGTGAGTATGTACATATTTGACATGTAAACGCTGATTGTCTAAAAAAACACACTCACAAATAGATGGTCCTGAACTATAGAGTTTGGGGTCTGGATTTAGAAAGACAGCATTTTGAAATTAACTGGGCATGAGATTTTCACATGCTTGTCTAACAGTATATTAAAGCAGTGTTTATACTTTGGTACTTGAGGCATGACAGAGCAGCAGGGAAGATTTTTTTATCAATCAAACTTTGCTTGAATAAACAGAGCTCTGTGTTGCACTAAAAATAGTTCACAGGAAAATTCCAACAAGCCTTTTTAAAAGCACATCTCCGTATCGCATACCCAAAATAAAACATGCGATGGGGAACCAGAAGGGGGAGCGATAATACAAACATTTTCAAATCGTCACTAGTGAAAGGATACCGCATAGAAGGTCTTCTGAAAACTGTTAAAAACCATGACTGAATGCTTTTTTGGGGGCCAGAACTTGAGCCTTTAGTAAATAAAGCAGTTCTAAGACGTGAAAATAAACGTATTACCCAAGTAATCTGCAGAAAAATATTTAGTCAGGAAACAAGATTAAAATAAAGAGACGGAAGAAATCTAGACCCTTATATTCATACCGATAGAGCCACTTAGATTTTTATTGGGCAAATCATCTCACAAATATCTTCTCTTTCAAAATAATAATAAAAAATAGGAATTTAACAAGTTTGGGGCTTATTAATGCATTAGCAGCAGTCATTTGGACTTACACAGCAACCCTTGCCTTAGGGGGTACTCAAAGCATTCTCAAGAATTGAGAATTCTCCTTCTGCTCATGAGTTGGGAGCGGAACACTCTCTTCTGCAATTTTTCTTTCTGTTTCTCTCTCCTTTTTCAGAAGCAGCTCAGTAGCCCTTCCTGAAGCTGATTCTTCCAAGACAGCTGTACTGACGCATTGGCCATTTTTAATTTCCAGCAGGAGAAGTATGGTTAAAGTAGTGGATCAAGGACTCCTCACTTAGCATCCTAAAGCATGTCTAAGAATTGCTCATATATAAGCAAAAAAAAATCAAACCTTTCCAAAGATACTTACACAGCCCTGCACTGTTGCACACCTTATACACTCATACTCGATTCATAACCAGGATACAGCTAATGCTACTATAGGGAAATACAGACTGGTCTGGAACACAGAGAAGATCACAGGTAGCCCCAGGCAGCTGCTGTAGAAAAGGATTTTGTCTCTTTCATGGCAAACACTGGCTTTATCAGCAACTGATTATTGAGCATTACAAACGTGAGCAGAAGTTTCACATTCTGGGGTTAGATGAACTAAGCTTGGACAAGTGCAGAGTTTGGCCAGAAACTGTCGCATCCAATATAATCTGTGGCAAGTAAATATAAACTCTGAACAGCTGGGATTTTGCACTGAGCTACAATTGGAGAAGCCACAATAATTTTGAGTGGAAGTAAAGTGCAACCCCTATCTTCAAATTGCAAATGAGATTTGCAGACACCTCACATACAGAGCAAATACTGTTTCTCACCTCATTTTGGATGCTAGCGTGCTAGGAATACTGGTGACTGCATATAGGACCTTCATGTTTACAGTGAAGGAAGCCACTTTGTAAAAGGCTTTTTGGTGCTGTAGTCTGGCAGTGTGTGCATTAGTTAATTGGCTTATTAGTCATTCAACAGAGGAGAACATATTATTCTTACCCATGGCCGGGGTGGCTAGCGTTTGTCGGCCTACTAACTGTGCAGGTCCAAGTCCATCGAGGAAATCACTAAACTGACTGTCAGTGCCCAGCCGTACTCCAGGAAATATTAAGCTGAAGCAAAATAAAAGCTGGTTAAGCATAAGAACAGGATTAATTTCTATTGTCCTACAGTATTTACTTCAAAAGTACTACTGATACAAGGCAAGCGGATCAGGATGTGCAACCACAAATTGTTCTGCAGCATCAGGAACGAGCTGTCTCACATGGACCCCAAAGAACTGTAGTGAAATTATGCACATGGACCCAAAGTAGTCCATAAAACAGCTCTTGCTAAGGAGTTCTCCAGGAGCAGTGAAGAGCCTGACAGGTGAATATATGAGTGACCTTATATGAGAAAACATAAAAAGCCTCATGAAATTTAATAGCTTATCATTCTTCATTCTTGAATGCTTGATTTACCTTGTAATACTGTTTTATATCTGTACATACATCCAAACCCCACCCGCATCAGTTAGAACAAACAGGGAAAACAGATGTATATGCTAAATTAATCTGATTGCTGCAGCTGTTTAACGAAGCAGTAAACTGGCAGGTAGTACTAGTGTTGATTAGAGCTAAACCTAATGCCACTCCCTAGCCAAAATATTCTGGTAGCCACATCTGGATCTACAGTTGGCACCCACCCCTCTTTCAGGACACAAACTGAACTGTAATACATTGGCACAGAATATATGGAAACATTCAAGGTCAGGTTGGACGGGGCTCTGAGCAACCTGATCTAGTTGAAGGTGTCCCTGCCCACGGCAGGGGGGGTTGGACTAGATGACCTTTAGAGGTCCCTTCCAACCCAAACTATTCTATGATTCTATGATATGTGCTTTTCCAAGCTGCTTTCTTGTATTCCAGAATCTCCACTTTCTTTTTAATAGATAGACAGTCTCCAAACAATAACAAAAGAAACAAACAAAAAAAAAAAAAAAAAAGAGAGAAAGAAAGAATGATCCATGCTGGGGAGACTCAGCTTTGACTTCCTCATCGCAATTATGAGGAACAGAAGAGCAGACTTTGAACCAAGTCTAGATAGCATCTTAGCCAGCAGGCCCTCCACCACTCTGTATCTGCTTCTCCCTCAAAGGAAATTCCCTATTAGACAGGAGAAAATAATAACAAAACCTCCTAATAAAAACATCTAGTGTGAAAAGCTTTGATTGCCACAGATCAGGCTTATGTGCTCCAGTCATTCAATTCACACTGAAAACTCTTTGCAAACCCCAGTTAGTTGGATAGAAAAAGCCCATTCCTCTCTTCAAGACTAACTGCTCTTACTATGCCTGCATAAACATATAGACTGCCTGTAACTAAAGCTGGCCAGAAGATATCAGCACAGTGCTTTTCATTAGAAAACTCTGATTTACCAAAAGGTAAGCTTTTCACATAAGTTTAGTTTTAAGAAATCTTTTTTTTTCAGTAGGTTTCTTTAGATGGAGGAGGAAAAGAACCTCAAAGTCTCCAGTTCAACCATCAGCCCACCAGTTACAGCATTCACCTAACCTTGAGATGCAGCTTCAAGCCCACCCTTCCTGACAAGACACACAATCTGCTTCTCTCCCCAGTGGCACTACCCGTTCACTCTCGCCCCTGCTATGAAAAGTTTCTTTCTTTGGCCTGTTTCCCCAAAACATGTTACATTTTGCTATGGAATGACTAACAACATTGAAAATGTTCCCTTGAGAGCATTCTCACTTTTCAGACACCTCTAGCTATACACATAATAATGAAGGTTGTGAAGTACGCATTCACCTTAATGTGTATTAATTCTAATTCATTCAACTCCATTACGGGTCAAGCAAAAGAACATAATGTGGTACTTGGGGTATCTACTGTAGGAATCTCCATTCTCAGCTGAGCTACACGTCTGATTGGTCTTATGGAATGCAGGATGAGGCCTGATGCTGTCAATAAACTATGTGACTCTGGAAGTAAAGTCAGTATCATAATGTACACACACACAAGGAAGGAAAAGTAGCCTGTGCAAACTTAACATCAGCATTTCCTAATTGTCATCATTACCCACCTACAGTAATGTCAAGAGTGAACTGCAGAGAAAATACTACTCAAGCAACCAAAGCCAAGCTCTCGCTGATTTTGATGGGAATCTCACAAGAGACAGGAAAAACCTAGCAAACAGCTTTGCTATTCTGAATGCAAGGTGCTATCAAAAACTGATTCATGCTCACACTAGAAATAACATCTGAAGTTAAATGTGACATTTCTAATGTTCAAAAAAGGCCCAGAAGAAGGAGGGAGAGAGGGAGAGGATTTTAGGATCAGCTGGCACAGTGCATGTACCCCTGATTATGTGATGCAGTTGTGTGTCTTCCCCTCCACCTTGCAGTTGTGTCCAACACATGTTCTAAAAATAAGCCAGCGATGCATGTGGGGGAAGTGATTAAACAGTAGAAAATTGTTTTATTGGTCATCTTTCTTACAAGAATCTCTGTATTTAACATTCTTCATTCACTGTGATCTAAACCCAGAGCTGCTGTAAACTAACATTATTCTATCGAACTCAAGCGAGTTTGCAGAGCACCTGAGGATTTGATCTATAGCTAAATCACAGAATCACAGAAAAACAGAAGACTTCAGAGAAGTTTTCTAAGCCACAAAGTACAGCACCACACTGAACAGAGCCCTTCGGTATCCCTTTTGCCTATGGCATTGTGTCCTGTTTAAGGAATGTTTCTTTTCCTTCATTGCAGCAAGATCTATTTAACTGTTTCACCTAAGTTTTGTTATCTGCCTCCTTTGGCCCATTCTCCTGGGCTTCCCTTCAGAGTCACTGTCAGATGTTGGTGGTGCTCTCACTTCACTGGCCTCACTGTTTCTTTACTCTTGCCAGGGACTGGAATAGGGATGTGGAGATCAGGGACAGCGTTTAAGGCTAAGGTCAAGTGCGAAGTGGGTTTGGAGTCAGGAAATGAAGTTGAGGTATACTGAGGATCAGGAATCAACCAGAAGAGCTGGTAACTCTATCAAACCAAAAGTCTAGGACAGAAACATGGTGAAAAGTTAGGGAGCTGGTGCCAAAAGTATGGATCAGAAAAGCAGGACAAACGTGGTCAGATGTGAAGAAATCTATTGTATGAGACCGCAGAGAGAGGTAAGGAGACTTGTCAGAGGCAGAACTGGTGCTGGAGCAGCAAGAGATGGGGAGCAGGCACAGGAGCTAAGGAGGCAGAAACAAGACATAAGATGCAGATAGTGTGACTACCAGCTTATGATAGCTCACTTTAGGTAAAGTGGAAGATGGACCTAGTTCTAAAGGATTATTTTCAAACTAAGTCCCACAATGCACATCCAGCCTGCAATATGTCCCGATAAGAAGCAAGCACTCCGTTTACCTCCCAGGATTGTTCTCTTCACTGCCTTACTCAGAGACTGATTCTCAAGTCAACAATTTAAGGCTCTACCTTGCAGTTCTGTCCTCCAGATGCCTGCTGTGACCTCCAGATCCAGACCTTGACTGCCCCAGCCTTGCCAAATCTGTTTACACACTCTGAGGGTGCAGCAGAGGATTAGGCTGTTCCCCTGAAAAGGTCCTCACCATCAGTGCTGGGCTCCCACCCCTCCCATACTGCTAACCAGGGAAACAGGCTCCCCAGGCTCCTCCTTAGCAGGGTCCGGTTTATTGGGCCCTTTGTCACCATGGTGAGTGACTGGTGTCTTACAGCCTGACACTCCAGCCTAGAGAGAGGAAGGAGGATGGCAGGATGGAGTGTTGAAAGGGTAAAGGTAATGCTCTATCACAGAAGCATAGTGGGAAAAATACTGGGATATTTGACTCTTGTCCCTCATTCTTCATCTGATGCTTATCTACTTTATTTTTTGAGTTATTCATGATGGAGCCTGTTTTTCTTACATGGCTCTTGCAATTCTTAGCATTATCATAGAATCATAGAATGGTTTGGGTTGGAAGGGACCTTAAAGATCATCTAGTTCCATCACCCCTGCCATGGGCAGGGACACCTTCCACTAGACCAGGTTGCTCAAAGCCCCGTCCAACCTGACCCTGAGCACTTCCAGGGATGGGGCATCCACAGCTTCTCTGGGCAACCTGTTCCAGTGTTTCACCACCCTCATTGTTAAAAAATGAGGGTGGTGAGATCATCTGATGATGGAGAAACTGCACCTTTACACAGCTCCTTGCCACAACCATGGCTGCCCTTGGCTCTTTGTGCCTTATACAATGTGCAGTAGCAATTGTGGTAACATGGTAAGCACATAAAAAGATGCCAAAGAAGTCCCAATCTCTCATTTTTCCCAGGTCTATAGGGTGGATTTGCCTATCCCTGGTTTCCCCTTTTATGGGGAGGCATCTTCTAAGAATTCCCTAGTGACCACTGTGCCTTGGCACACATGGTAGAGTCCCACTGAGCGCTGTGAGGAGGCTGGAGTATTCATGCACACTTTTGTGTCAGATCTCCCTTTGTTCTCCTTTCCTACATACTGAGTCATTCAGCAGTGAATGAAAACAGCTGCCCCATTCCCCACAGTGGTCTGCCTGATTTCAGCTGATGGGGCAGTTGGACTCTGGGTTTACAATTCTCAATAAGAGACTTGGACCAACTCCAAACTAAACTTTCTTTGTATATAGTATTACTGAACAGAGTTTCGTATCACAGGGATTTACATACAACATCTGAAGTTTAACTCTGAGTTAATCCAAACATAAAGAAAAAGTACCCCTATGTTTTGTTTTGAATAATGTGGTCTGAATTTAGCTGTCTTTTGATGAACAAAATGTCTCACTGGATGACAGGGAAAATGTGACTCCCTAAGAAGTCCTCTCTCAATTTCAATTTTCAAGAAATTTGTGTTATGTGCCTAAAATAGTTCAGTTTTGCAAACGTTTCAGAGGAAGAATCTGTACGCCAGAGCTGGGACCTCTCTTCACATCCCAAGTTTTCTTACAAAGACAAGAAACTTCTACATTACTGATGTTTTTAATGACACTTACTTGCCCTCGGAGCTGTAACTATTTATGCTGCCGTCAGTGGATTCCCGACTTGGCTGTCGAACCATACGACTTCTCATCTCTGCTGCCATTCCTGTCCCTGTGCTTCTCTGTATCGTGCTCTTTAGCTTCTTGTTGCCAGCCTCTGAAAGCAGAGAAAAAGAAGCCATAGTTAGAATAACAACTCAGAGCAAAGCCTTTCCTTGCAGTTTTCCCCCAACAAGTGATCTGACTTGACTATTACTATTTAATAATATGAAAAGACTATTCCGATCGAAGAAGGAATCTATCTTCTTCAGCTGCAAACTGGTGAAGACTTCTCTTTAAAAGTTTGCCTAGGGCAAACTTTTAGAAATCAGGTGTCTTATTAATAACCATTATACAGTCAGAATGTAGACAGGATGACTGTGATAGTGTCTGCTAACCATACACTCAGTAAGGTGTCTCTAGCCACCTTGTTAGTTAGGTTGGGTAACTACAAAAGAAGTTGCGACTCTCACAGGAAAGAAGAGGGAAAAACCCCTTCATGTATTCAACAGAAAAATGTTAAGTACTAAAATACTTAGTATCAAAAATATAATAATGTGTTTTGACCCAGCAAAATCTTACTTTTCACCACAGAAATTCCTCAAAGTAAACAGTGAGCTTTACATAACTTCTCATCTCAGCACTTCCCAAGTAGAATTAACTCTTTGGAGACTCCGTGTGGAAGATGATGGACTTCACAGAGTCTAGCCTTGCAACTGAACACTAGAGGGTAATGTAGATCTTGTGAAATTGTTTAAAGACTTGATCCATTTGGAAAAGCTTCCATCACACATTCTTTAAAATGCAATTTGAGTTCCACCTGGAAGGTTTCATGTTACTCTTGAGCAAGGAGAGCTTCCAATCCTTTTCAGGGGTGGTTATGGGCTCAAGGTGCACAGCTGATCTACAATGAATTCTGCTGTCACATGGCAGAAATTATGCTTCTAAATGATGATACTCGTTCTCAAAGACCTTTAACTGAAATACTTCCACCAAAGTCTCTACATGATGTAATAGTGTGTGTTGACTTCAAACTCAGTGTCCTCTTCGTTTTCATTTAGTTCAGCCTATCATTCAATGGGTAACATTACTTTCTCTCAGGAAGTAATAGATTTGATAAAGTTTCACGTAAGTGCATGCAAAAACATTCTCCTGCATTTTCCCCTTCATTTCAGAGTTCCTTCACTGCTCTCTGCAAAGTCTCTGCTTCCTTTTCACAGTCTGCTCAGGGGAGCATCTGAACAAAATAAATGTTTCTTCCACCTCCACCTGCTGCGGAGACTGAATTGCTCTGAAAATGTTTTCACCTTCCTGTTTCACATGGACACGGTTGATATATGAAGCTGACAGATCTTGACCTCTCTTCACATAGAAGCTATGGATTTGGTATCCTCCGCATGGCCTGCGCATTGCTCAGGGTGACTAAACATGCTGGTGAGAATGGCTGGCCCTTGCTCTTTGGGTCTGCAGAGCTGGTGGAGGGCAGGGAGAAATCACACAGGAGAGAGCAGCTCCCCCTCTCCCGGGGTTATCACAGTAACCTCTTTGGAGCTAGCAGACAGACAGAAAACATGGCCAAAGCGAAAAAGCAGTAATTCGTATATTGGGCTAAGAAGAGGCAGTGCTACAGCAAAAGGGGCTGTGGTTTTCCTCTTAAGCCTTCTGGACCAGGGGCTGTTTATCCATGGCCACCCAGAAGCACAGAAACAAATGCCTCTGAGTGGAAGAAATCAGCTACTTCCACAGATCCTTTACTCTCTTCTGAGGCCAATAGCTCTGAGGTTTTGTTGAGCCACTGCAACTCATCCAAATTCCTGGTCCTTGGTCAGCTGAAAACGCATTATTCAGTGCTGCTAAACGTGAGGTAGACTAGACTAGACAAGGTACACCAGGCAGACCAGGCTCCACTCTTAGACAGTGCAAGTGGCTGTGGAAGATATTTGCTGGAACTTCAGTGACTCCATATGTAGAAAATCAAATGCTACGTTTTGGACCTGAGCTTTATCTTTAAAAACAGATGGTACATCCAGCATATCAATGCTGAAAGGTAAGCTGAGCATAAAAAATAAATCAAAAGGCAGCCCAGGAAGTATAACCCACATGCAGAGCCCCATGCCAAAGCAGGATTCTCACATTTTCAGTAGCTACGCATTGCCACCCATGTTGTTTTGTGCCGCTCTCCCTTGCTGGGACTTGTCTGAAAGTGCCTGTGCTTCCATCTGCTCCTACAAAGCGGGTGAGATTATGGGGTTTACCCCCTGCCTTCTTTTCTGGAGCCAGCCAGACCAGGCAGCATGACTGGCAGGATAAAATATGGCAGAGCCTGAAATGGGGGCAGTTGAATAGGGTTGCCTGTAAGTACTCACGGCTCAGGAAATGGGAGTGATGAGACACTAAAGGTAGCTACAAGATCATCATGACCTTGGCACAAATTGGGAAAGAGATATTGCTCTGGACCACCTGGACAACACGGTGGGTGCTGAAACTTAGGGATTAGAGCCAGGCTGTTGGGAAAGCATAATGAAGAACATATTCATAGAAATAATCACTGCAAAAAAATTCCATTGACTAAATCACAGAAATTAATATTTTAGCTTTGAGCCACAGTAGAGATTGAAAATAGCAAGTGGGTTTTTTTGAAAGAGTAATTTTATATTATCATGGATAACATCCATGTTGCTGCTTGAACATACTTCTTTGCTCCACAGATTTTAAATGCACAGACCATGAAGTAGGAATCCTCGTGCATGGCCATAAGCAAGTCCACAACCTTGTCTCACTGTGCTGCAAATATCAGATTGTCTTTTTCCAAATACTTTTCAAGTCACTGCTCTCTGTCTAACTGTGCTGGATTCCACCTCTTCTTTTTCCTTGTCAACGTTTTTTTCAGGTTGAAGATTAAAAAAAATGCTTTTGCCTTCTCTTGTAACTGCTACTAATATCCACAATGTTTCCTGGGAAAACTGGAATCCTCCTGCATATTTCATTTTATAACCTCAGTCTTAGTATTCTGCAGTACAATCAGAAATATAACATAAAAGTAACCCAAGTTAAATACATCAAGAGTTTTATGGCATAAAGGGAATTGCTTTTGCCCATGACTAAGAACCGAAAGGCACATTGCACAGGTTTTGGAAGTTTTAACCTTGGTCAGTTATGCATATCATATTTTTTTCATCCACTTACAGCACAAAAAGTAATGAGAACATTTTATCTTGTTGGTGTACTCCTGTAAACTTCTCAGAAAACCCCCGTTCTGCAAGGGAGGGAGGTGGTTAGCATACAGCTGAGTTGGGAACTGCTGTTATTTCTAAAGGCGCCGCGGTAATGTGAAGTCACTCTGGGGTACAACTTCCAGTCCTGCCTTGACTGCACAATGAAATACGGGATCCAAACACCTACCAGTGTTTCTCCTTCTCTTGATAACGCTTTTTAAAACTTTCATTTTCATCTTGTATTGCTTTTAATCTAGCAGTTCTGCATGTATCTTTGGAACCCTGTCTTTATACGAACAGTACAAGTTCATAAAATATTTAAGTTCAATACCTATGCTATGATATATTGAGAAGATTTTCTACGCTTGTCTGGGTATCTATTGGAGAATGCTTGGTCCTGCTCCTGATTTTTATTAGTTTGATATGTACAATTAAATTTTATAATATGTTGCAGTTATTTGCCTGCACTGTGTAAATTACACTATATTCATCATGCAGACTGAAGATAAACTGCCTCTATACTGAATACCATTTAGGGGCAAAATTTACTCCAAAATAGTCTGTATGCTTCTGTCTGCTGTGTCAATTGTGTAAGGCTTTCTGCGTGCAGAAATGCAGATTGATGTGCATAAATTGCATCTAAACACATAGTTTAACAGGTACAGCTAGAGAAAAATGATTACAGAGCAATTGTGATGAACATTTTTGCGGATTTAATAACTGATGCAAAAGGATCTTAAAGCAGCCGTCTGCAGCTACAAAAGATACACAGCTTGTAAGCATTTTGCAATTCATCAACAGCCTTGTAACACCCCTGCTACAACACACTGATGAGTGTGTGCAATGTGCTATTTCAGTCTACCTATTATAAATATAGCCTAGTGATTCCTTTTTAATCTGACAAGAAACTGGTCCCTGATTTTGGTTTTCTTGGACAAAAGTAAGTTAATGGAGATCCTCATCTAAGTAATGACGAAGAGCAAAAAGCAAGCTTGTTAGTGTATGTACTATCATACATTTGCACAAAATATCAATGCAATTTATGTGTCCCCAATTTCTGTACTTCCTAATCACTTTCAAGTATAGCAGCCAGGAGCAAAATGTTATTGACAAGAGAATTATATTAGCGAGAAAGGGTCAGTGATATTATCTATAGAATTAAGATGGCCTACTAGAGGCTAGCCTCAAGGCCAGCTTTACGTTTCTAAAGGCATCCAATTCAGAGAGGACAATGCCAGGACAAACGGCCCAAAATAACTTGTATCCATGACTGCCCTTAGCAAAGTCATGACTGCACATGGCATCGCCATTGGCCTGGCTTTTCCTCTGGGCTCCATGTGGTGTCTGGAGGCAATTACTACATTTTGCTCTTGTTTCAGTATAGTAAGTCTGAAATAACGGAAGGGGCTGCACCACGGCCTGCTGGAGTAAAGCTTTTATCGTGTGATGCCAAGGTATGTATTACATGCCATGGGACAAGGCTAGGGGACATACAAGAATATGCAAGGACACAAGCTTGGCGACTTAGTCAATAGGACAGTGTTAGAGACCTCTGTAGGGCAGAAGATGACAATCCTGACACGGTCTTCTATGTACTCCCTATAGGGAGAGGTGCCTTGAGCGAGTATTGCCCAGAAGCATACCTGAGGGCAACTAGTTGGTTAGCACCAAAAAATAGAAGCAAATTTACACACATGCAGCACCTGGGTATGTGGCATGGAAAATTCGTGACTGGTTCAAAAGAATGCTTCAGAGAACAAAGCATACACCACTGCTAAATCCACTAATGAAAGGGAAAATAAGAAGGGTACTAATACTCGGTGTCATCGCACGACTCAAGGGCAAATTATTCACGGTATCAAGCATGCTCATACATCCAAAGAAAGCCTAAAAGGACTACAGC